GTTTACCTTTGTATTACAAATCACCAGTGGGTGACTTAATAGAAGTAGTTTTAGGTCTCCATGGAATTACAATAAGGTTTCTTATTTTCCAGGTAATGACCATGCATTCAAGTAATGTCTGCGTATTTATGTATAAAAGACCATGTACACTTTGTTGTAAGAAAATCAAAAAATAAAACAAACTGGTGACTGGTGTAACAACTGCACAACAGTGATAACTAAAACCATGCTTTCTATGTGGGTCAGAGAAGAGAGATGAATACAGCAAAACCTAAGTTATGATAATGGGGGAAAAAAAAGGGACGTTCGCTTATCTATCAAAGTGTTCTCTTGTGTCACAGATATATGCTAGCTGCAGTGGACAGAAATCAAAGCTTGTTATATGTAAACTATGATAAAGTAATGCATTGAAGCTTGAAATTCCTTCAACTGTGAAAGTCATTTCCTTTGAAAAATCCCCCCAGCTTCATCTGTCACAAAATGCACAATAAGTAACTGCAGTCACCTAAGTAACGTCAGTTTTTGTGTGTGCATCTGTTTGTCTTTTCTGTCTTTTTTATTAAGTATTGGTCCTATGAGTGTTGGAAATTTTATGCCACTTTGATTTGAAGTTGATTAAATTATAAAACTAAGTGCACAGTTAACTATAGTTAACTGTATTTAACAGCATGGTTCCTCCAGGGTGATATTCGTATGGACTTGAAGGAAAATACTAGGTTGATTACCTTAGCTAAACCCCTGCACTTAGGCGCAGATTTAGCAAATGGAAAATGTGCTGACATTTTGTGCGGTGTGTGTATACACACTAATGTGGGTAAAGATGTGTTTCTGTTTGATTCAAGGTCATTTAGCTTTGCTCAGGTTGGGGTGACATTTGCTTGTGATCTCATTCTTCATGGAGAGATGCATCACTGAAGGGCTGGGACTTGTTTCTCCACTTTCCTGGCACAAATGACTCCTCATTCCCAGAAAAGGAACATACTAATTCTCTGTCTCTCCCTCTCTCTCTTTCTCTCTCTCCATCGGTCACACACTGACAACATGTGCACACAGACTGCATCTCCTCATTGAATGACAGTGTGAATGTACCTCATCGACGAATGACTCACTCTACTACTCTGCTATTATGATGATTTCTCCCTTCTGTGTATTACATCATGCAACAGAGGGTTCTGCTCAGTTACATTCACCACAATAAACACTATCTGAGTGCACTCATTTAGGCCGTGCAGGGGTTTATTAGTCAGCCTTGCATGGAAAACATTATTTAGTTGATCTCCCAAATAACTTTTTATCTAGTTCATTTTGTCTGTATTTACCGAAAAGTGCAATGTTTTTAAAGCTGAAAATGAATCATAAGGCTGGCATTTGGATGGCTAGAAACATTTGTGTTGCAAAAACACTTTGAACGTCCCTTAACCTGCCTCCTGTGGATGCTTCTGGGGTTAAAGGTCAAGGATTAATGCATATTTCACTGTCACATGGATTCCCATATGCCATTAGGCGTGGTTCAGCTTTCAGAATAACTGTAACTGGCTCTACACATGTGAAGCCATTACACATATTGCAAACCTTTTTCAGTAAGGGATAGTAAGATACCAATCAATAACAGTGTTCATATGCCATAATTGCTGAATTTTATGTCAGTGAGAGAGTGTTACTTGAGGCACACCAATATTCTACATATAGCAGCCACAAATTGGTCCCTTGTGCTTTAATCACACAGGCAGTTCAAATCATTGACTTTGCAAATCATTACATCTCACAAGGCATTGTGTTGAAGACTACTGATGTATTGAAAGGCTGCTACAAAGAGAAGATACTACATGGACGGGAAGAATAATTACGGTCCGTTTGCAGGGTTCTTACATTAATCCAAAACAAAAGATTAAATTAAACTCAACTATTATACCAGTGTAAGATGTCGGAGGCAGAGTAGAACAATAGTGCTCGACTCATTCTATACAGCAGAACATTGTCGTAATTTAATTTATTGGGTGTTTATTTAATACTTATTATGTAGGTCACAACAATAAGTGAGGCCTAATTCAATTGCATAAAAAGACTTCCTTAGGCCACTTTTCTTGTGTGTGAACACTATTTTGAGCTCCATTTATGGTGTTCAAATTAAACATCTCAGAGTTGCTGGAAGCTTCTTGTGTTAATGGAATCCCACATAGTGGACTGTGTGGGGAGGAGAGCAGATGAATCTGTATTCCCTGAATGTGTCTGGGCAAAAATCAATAAATGCAAGCACAGCTCCTCGCTTCTGACGGCTGTCCCTGTCTTTGCATGGTGAACTAATAGAAAAATAATAATTAAATCCAAATCACCAGATTAATTTGTTTTCCATCAGTCTCAGGAGAGATCTTTTTTTTTTCCTGTTTCTTTAGTGGCTCATTATACTTTCTAATCAAGACAAAAAAAAGTCCCTCTTTTAGACAGACATGCTGTCTCCCTTCCCCCTTCTCTTCCCTGTGGTGTGCTTTCTCGCATTGCAGTCATTGTGCTGGCACTTATTATGTTACAAATGACCGAGGTACGGCAGGCATTCTCAGTGTGCATGCAAAGAGGGCCCACCCTTCTATGCTGCTAGTGCCTTCTCCTAATGACGATGCTCAGAGTGCCCCGCGACGCCACCCCACGCAGCCCTCTCCCCTATTCCCGCCCCCATGTGCTCTCTTTAATGAAGATTCTCCAATGCAATTAAAAACCCTTACTTCTTGCTGCTACTGTATGACAAACAGAGCCACTGTCATTCCTCATGGCCTGTCATTCCTGCTACAAGAGGTGGAGGAGATGGAGAAATACACCAGGGTGCCAGTGGCTAGAGAGACAGATAGGGAGGATTTTGTATGTGTGTGTGTGTGTGTGTGTGTGTGTGTGTGTGTGTGTGTGTGTGTGTGTGTTAAGAGCACCGCCCCCCCCCCCCACTCAACAGGTAATGGAAAGGGGCAGAGAGAAAAATCAATGACCAAAGAACATGGAGAGCAAGCTTATAAAATGGCTTTAACTGAACACCACAAGCTGAATAAGGGGTTCTGTGTCCATCCTCCAAACTCTGGTGATCATGAATGTTTCAACAGACACCCCCATCTCACCTTTTCTTTTTTTTCTCCAACAAGTAAAAATGACTGATATGCAAATAACAGCTTTGCAATTCTTGCAATAACATCAAAAACATTCGGGTGACACTTTTGGATGTGGTGACGTTACGGCAGAGAGGGAGAGAGAGAGAAAAGAAATAGGATACATTTATGGTCATTTATAATGTTTATGAAGCATTAATATGAATGTGCCTGTAAACCAACACTCCATCACGCTGCTAACAATGAGTTCATTGTTTGTGTGTGATTTATGAGGTGTCTATAAACTAACAGTGAACAGTTTGTTAATCCCGTATAATACCAGTTAAAATGGATACAACCAGTGGTGATATGACATGCATAGAGACACACCAGTTGGCTCTGGCTCTGTGACCCATCCTCATCCTCAACAGGGTGGGGCATATAAGAACAGTTGCCCACTCCATCTGCAAAAACTCCCCACCACCACTCCTCCACCCCACCCCCTTGTTGTTTTCCAGTTGAATGAAATAATCTTCCCCCGTCTGGAAACCCAGTCTGGGTCAGAGGGCCTGCGTTCAGCCTGTTGCTTATTGTGTGCTCAGAAGAGGAGGTAAAGCATACAATTAGGCACAGATGGCTGTCTTTGCCAGGCAATGTATTGATCCTATCCTGAGGAAGATCTGTCCCATTTCTGTTTTTGTTTGGCAAATGCCTTCTAATTTAGAGCCTGTGTTATCTGTCTGATTTGTATTTGTTTGATCATGTATCATCTTCTGAGAGATCATCATTTGGTCAGTTTTCTGTGGAACACATGGGGGATTTTAGTGACTCAGTATTGATAAATGACTGTAACTTAATTCATGAAACATGATTTTACTGATAGGTATGCTAAATAGATAGATCTAGATCCTAGAGGAAAATTGAAGATTTATTCTTTAACTAGTTAAATACACGATTAGCCTACATATATACCTAATGTGTGGATGATAATAGTACATTCAGGCTTTTAAAACAGATTCAATCACTGATAATTCCACCGTAGTCCAACATCAACTCAGCCTTCAGTTTAATACCAATTAGAGTTGAAACTATTAGTGGAATAATTGATCAATAGAAAATGAATCAACAACTAATTTGACAACTGTGTAGTCATTTACCAAGAAAAAATGCCAAATATTCTCTGGGGTCAGGTTATACTAATACTGAACTTTATTCATATAGCACCTTTCAAAATAAATCCTTAAAGAAATCAAGTATTGTTGTCTGAAATATGAAGGACTGTACACCTTTCCTTTCCTCTCCAAGTTGCAGTATATCAAATGAGGTATGATTTGATGTATTGAAGACAGGGCTGCAACTAACTAATATTGTCTTATTAATTAATGCGCCAATTTTTTTCTTGATTAATCAGTTTGTCTATACAATGTCAAAAAAGCTAAATGAATTATCTGTCAATCAACTAATCAATTAATTCATTAATTGTTGAAGCTCTAGTATAAACTCTTTAATCCGCCTTGTAAAGCAGAAATTCAAACCATAATCGACATCATAATAATTAATCAGAGTGATCAAAGTTCTATAAAAGTTTGGACTTTTAATAGGAAAAAACCATAAATTAATGTTTTTAAAATGCAGCCTGTTTCTTTATTAATGTTATTTGTTTACACTAGTGGCCGATCATCGCCATAAGAGGTGCATGGCTTAAGATGCAACTAACATGATAAATAAAGTTACCGCTACATCCCTGTCAATGACAGTGTCGCATTTAAAGTAATAACGGTCAATAGCTGTATCCTTCTTTACTACGGCCGCTGCACAAATAATAAGTTTTCTTTGTGTGGCAGTAGTGAGCTGACGTCAGGTCGGTTCCTTGAAGTGGAGCTGAATAAACCTTGAGAAGAGTCTCCTTCAATCTGCTGTTAGTAACTAACACACACACACTCACACACCGAGACTCAATTACTGCCCAATTCCCTTCTTTATCATTCGTCCCCGACCTCTTTCATAACCAAAACCGACCAAGGAAAAAAAGAGGCGAGAAGAAGACCGACCCGAAGTGTTAGTTGAACTAAAAACCCACGTTGGAAATAAGTAAAGTGTCGAAACTAAAAAAAGGTAAGTGTTTTATTTCACTGACGCTGTTTTACCCCCATCACAGAACAAGCGATGAGCTGCGTAGAGCTGGCTTCGTTTCTAGTTTCTTAGCTTTTTTCCAGCTTGTGTAAACTGGTTTATAGTTTCTTGTTTTTGTGTTACGATGTAATTCATTCAGTCGGTGTATCCCGCACATAGACAGTGGAAGATTTGGTCGAATCCGTAAAGTTTTTTCTCTTTTTATATAAAGACGAAGTGTTTTTTTCCTCTTCTGAGTGGTGACCTGATAGTGGGAATCGTCTTTGTGTCCCTCTCTCCTTTTCTCTCGCACCGTTCAACCAGGCTGTCGTATCTGATAACTTGTTAAATCGTTGAGAATTTAAAGTTTAAAAGGATTTGTGTTGTTGTCTGTTTTGCTTGTAACAATCGTGTAAATGTACAGTTGTCGGGTTTTGGGTGCATAGTTGTAACCGTCAACGTAAAGGGGGAAACTGCGAGACACTGGACTGCCGTTGGTCCTCGCTGTCCGTCCGTTAAAATCCATCCAGTTTAATAGTCCCTCGACCCGAAAATAAAACAATTAGCGACAAATACATAAATATCCCCTTCGGTTCAGATTAAGTTGGACGTATAATATTCTTTTTCCACAGCGGGTTGAGAGTTTGAGCTTTTCGTGTTGTTACTCGTATTGCTGGCCAGCCTGCCGGGTAGCTGCTATCGCGGTCGCTTCCTCAAACCGAGAGGCGTGCAGGCAAGCTAGCAGCCGCTTGGCCGAGTTGTTGAAATTTATCCCTTTGTGTATATTACAATATCCTCCATTTTTTCTGCCCCTTCCAAAACAACAAGCCTCTCGCCATCTTGGTTATTTTAAATTCGTCCCCCAAGCACCCCTACCTTTCCCCTCTCTCACATACACACAAACACACTGGCTACTTTAAAAGGAAATGGATCCACGTTTTTTTTCGCAAGTTTTACCAAAGTTTTACACTTGTTAGAAAAAAATGACACGGTGGTTCGCGTCCTGTGTGTGATTTTAAAAAGAATTTTAAGGCGACTGATGAGATTGTGAGCGATGATTTGAAGCCAGTTTTGTCCCAAAGAGGAGCAGTTTGTATTTGAGGTCGAGACGTTTGCTTTAAAAAGCAAATATAAAGTGAGGTTGTGTTACGGGTCAGTATTGTGATTTCTGGAGAGACAGGTGGATATGGTGGGATTTTGGTACAGCCGCATTTAAACTTAAGCATTGACGCTATTTTCAAGCGAAAATGTTGTTAAATGTGATTTGAGGGAGCTGCTATATGTTTGTCTTTGCAACTGAACATGAATGAATGGAGGAGGGAGGAGGAGGGAAGGAAGGAAGAAAGAAAGGAAGGAAGGATATTAATTACCAAGAATCCCATTAAGGGAAGAACAGTAAAAATAAAATATAACTGGATGTCACTGCCAAATACTGTCATCCTTTGAATCACAAAGTTGTTTGAAATAATTATGTGATGGTAAAAAGGTATTTATTGCTCTTTAAAGAAACCTTTATTGGTAAGTTGGCAAATGGTGCACTGTTGTTTACGCAAAGTTGAATTGTGATTGTGATTGATAGATTTTTAGGATTGACAAGTTGGAGGACGTGCACACTCACACATGCATCTCTTATCATCACACACACACGCACATGTGCACACACGCACAGTTTGATTCACCCCTGGATGAGCCATAATACCGGTTTGCAACAGTTTAGACGGGAGACTCTTCCCTGAAAGAATTATCCAGTGAATGGAAAATGGTGACCTTATTTAATTTCTGCCATCCATCTTACAAAAGGTGTTATTTTAACCCATGCATTTGCTCTCTCCGTCAGAGTTAAAACTTGATCTCACTTTCTTCCCCATGTCCTGAAAGCAGTTTAAGGAAGAGGAGGGGAAAAGAAAACAAACCGAACAAATGCTTTGAAATGGAAAATCTGATCATTTCACCTCCCACCTCTTTTGTTTGCCCGTTTATTGCTGCAAAGCTGGAGTGCAGAGGAGCAGATGTTTAGCCAAACATGAAGGCGCGGTGCCTCTGTCCTTATGGGGATGGCTTTCCCTCCTCTCACTGCTGATGCATCTATATGACAGCTGCTTGATTTCATGGAGCTGCTAAGAAGCCATTAGTGGTATCAGTGAATTGAAACGGAACAGTGTCTCCCAGTTTTCTACCACTATTACAACTGTCTATTGTTAGCGTCATTTTCTGCAGATTTGTTTGAATATGAGTGCGTCTGTGCATGCACTCGTGTGTATGCAGCCTACAAGTGCTGCAGCTGAGCTGAACATACAAACCAACAAGAAGTAGTAATATATTTGTGCAGTGTGTTTTCCCATAATTTGAGAGAGAGTGAGCAAGAGCAAAAGTGAAAAAAGGGGAACAAATCTGTCAGAGTTTGTTTGCCATGTTGGTTTGAAATGAAAGCACACTGTGCTACCTCAAGCACACTCAAATCAGAGATGTCTCTCCTTGCCAGGCCAAGAAAAAAAAAAACAACAACTCTCGGCTGGAGTTTTCTTCTCTCTCTCTCTCTCTCTCTCTCTCTTTCTCTCTCTCTTTGCTTCTCTTTCCCTCTCTCAAATTGGAACTGTTGTTTTTGAAGAGATAAAGGAGGACTTCCGCTTGACTTGAACATTCAGGAATTAAGGATAGACATAGTTAAGCCCTATTTGCATGTCTACCAAAGTCACAGCAAACGGTTGCTATTGACTAAGCTGATTAGGTGAAATTAGGTTCACGAGCTCTGTGTCGGGGGGTGCTGAATCTGACAGAACTTGGACAGCTTTTGAAAAGACAATCCCATGTGCACACAATTCTGTATTCTCTATAATCCTTTAGTATTGAATATGGGGCTATCATTTTTTTTTTTTTTTGAGGAAACCCATAGTTTGTGAAGTGAAGCGAGATTTATCAGGTGTGCAATATATGTCGGTCAAGTCGTCACTATGAGTCAACGCTTGCTTAAAAATGTGTTGCAGTATCACATCGTGTTGGGATCAAAATTATGTCCAGTGTATTGGACATGTGAATGATTCATCTGTTAATTACAAGTGCATTACAATTATGCACTGAGTTATTTTTTTCCATAACACACTGCTTCTTTTAAATGCAACAACCACTAGTCTGTTTTGTAAGAACAAAGGTAACACTTTTCTTGTGTTTCCAAAAACTTTTGTGATGATTCAGTAGAGCTTAGTTCCACATTTTGATAATAACCAAAACTTGTTTTCACTTGTGGTGACTGTCTGATGGTCTGCTTTCAAAGGTTCACCTGCTGCAGAAAAATACAAAAACGTAAAAAAGTAAATGCTGTACCTAAACTGTGCTCATTCCCTTGACTGATTATACAAACCTTAAAAGTATTGCATGAATGTTTGAGGGGTTTGCATCCGTACCAAGGATCACACTGAAACTGGCCATTGAAATGATCAGTTATTGGAAATTCTAGTACATAGTGCAATGTTGTGCACCCCTATGAGTGAGTTTGTCACTCATTAAGCCTGACTGATTTCTGACTGTACCCTGGGCCACAGTGTGTACTGTAGATTCTGTGACAAGATACATCAGAATGTAAATGGTACATGCTTTAGGCATGATAGGACTCTAAATTGATACTGACAGAAAAATTAAACATTTGCATTACCATAATCATGTAAATGTATCAAACTAAGACACATTTTAATAGTCTATATCAAGTGCTTCAGTGTCAGTCTGTGGGTAAGTCCTAACCTAAATATTTCATGGAATTGATGTCAGTATTTTATATTTAGACTGAGATTAATCAGACCTACAAACAGTCTATTGATAATAATGGCCATCTGGGAGCCCTGTCAAATCTCTGCATGTTAGTGCTGACACAAAGCTGTGAAATTTAGAGAGGAAGTAGAGGTCTGCTCTGTGTTAACCAAATAATTCAAGAACTAATGCTAGACAGAGTCCTGATCGTATTTCCTAATCTTTCCCCATCAGTCATCCATTTACATATGAATGTGCATGCACACACACAGAAAACAATAATGACAAATTAAATAATGTACCAAGAAACTGAGGACTTAAACAGATGTTTTTGAAGTAGACATTAATCCTATAAGGGCTAATGGTCCTTTGAGAAGAAGCCGCATTTTAGCAAAAGCCCTAAAAGCTTCTAGGCATTAGATTGATAATGCCTCTTATTGTTACAGATCAAATTGGTGCTGCTGTGTGTTTGTCTTGGCCTACTGTTTTCTGCTGTGTTACAGGCCCGTGCAGGCAGCTCACTTATTGATACGTGTTTACATGGCCTTGCAGGTTAATGTCCTCTCAGCTGGAAAGTTGGTTAGCTCTCAGATGATCTACCTAACCTTATGTTACCTTGCTATTTTGGTAACGCTGCATTTTCACTTGATGTCCTGATAATAATCAGGGTACACAAATAATTGTCTAAAGTGCATGCTCAGTGACAGACGATTTTAACATGAGCCTTTTCAAATATCGTGGCTATGTTTAACCAGAAGTGTCTGCCTGTGTTTCTGTCTATATAATGAGAAATGCATCTGTAAACTAAGCTAATGAGATTGGGCACATATGCCTCATGTTGTAGAAACACATGAACAAGCTCAACTGTTAATTAAGACTAAACAAATCAACACCCATTTTAGTTTTCTGTGCGTTTCTGTGTGGATTACATATGGTGGATTAATTACCAAACAATAAGCAGTAAAGTGCAAGTGGGTCACCCCGTGTTGACTTTCAGGAGACAGAAGACAGAGCGGCCAAATTTGGGAGGGAAAGGCGATAAGCTGCTTCTTTGCTGTTCGTCCCCTGGGCCTCTATTTATCATTCAATGTGAGAATTTCCTTGATGAAAGTCAAGGTTGTTTGTGCATGCTCTGTCTCGTTGGGATGCCTGTTTTTCCACCAGCAAGGTGAAAAGGTTGATTTTCCCCTCCAAAGAGATGCCTTGTTTGGAAAGTCCAGGCTAGTTTCTTTTAATGAAGTCTCAAAAGGTCCTGATGATTT